GGGGGGGGGCGGTTTAAGAAGCTTTGACGGCCACGGCAACGGCCATCGAAAGGAAATGTCTACCGACAATAATTGAATTCATATAGTAGTTTCAAATGTAACAGCGAGATGAGAAACAATCAGCTTTTTTTCATTTCGAATTCAAATCTATTCCCTTTTCAATTGCAATGAAAAGAAAGATTTCCTTTGTTTGCTCAAATACATTATATTTTCCAGCTTTGCACTCTTGCTTGAAGGGGGTGGAAACTCATAAAAATTCACAAAGTTGCGTTTGCGGTCATTATACTATTAATCATGCTTCTTGCCATTGCCGTTTCTGTCATGGCACTTTCTTGAGTCCTAAGAGACAATAGCAATTGCCCACATCACCCTTGCCCTTTCCCAAGGGCAATTTAGTGGTGTCTGTGCTTTACGAAGAATAAATTTTATTGATTATACATGCAATATATGTAGACAGTAGGACTTCCTATGTAATTTGTTACATGCTCGTCCATCAATGCTTTATTAATTTTGTAACGTGTTGATGTATGCTACTCAAGAATACTGGTAAACCCTATGGTATTTTAGTTTTGTCGCTATTGTACAATCTATTCAAAAAGCAGTCTTCAATATGCTCGTTTATAAATGATACGTTGTTTTGGCCAAGTCGAAAAGTGTTCAACACTTTTTGGGTTTTCTTTATTCAAATTCATCCAGAGTCACATCATGAAAACATGTGGGTGCCAAAAAATAATCTATGACCAGCCTTACTTGCAGCGTTCTTGAAACTTGGAAAGTTTCGTTTTTTAAAGTTTGTAAAATCCCTAACTTTTTACTCCTAAGATTGTACAAACAATTCTCAACACTATGTGCTATATATTTCGGTTTTGAGAATTATGTATTTTTAAATGAAGCAGTATTCTTTAGTTGATAGTTTTATTTCAAGTCCTCATTTCCTTTTTGCTCGAAATTATTTTGATGTTGCTCGGAGAGGACTAGCGGCGGATAGGTCTTTCCCGGGAGTGAAAGGGTAAAAAGGTTGTATATCACTTTCACTACGCGAGAAATTTACTTTTAGCCGTAATGGAAAATTGGCCGACTTCGAGAAAATATTTTATAAGGTGCAGTGAACTTTGATTTGCTACATTATGCAATGGGCTCACCATTCCCAACGAAAAACAAGGTTTTTAGGATGCAATACCAAGAAATCATGCCTCTTTCTATCTCGAAGGTGTGGATGAAAAGCTTAAAAGTAGCTCTTAAGACAAACGTTTTACCACTTTGAGCAACGCTATAATAATACGGAGACATTTCAATTTGGTGGAACATTATGGTTAAAAAGGAACTAACAGCTGTTACGCAATTCAACTCGAGTGACTTTTTCAGCTTCTTCACGTGCACACTAAAAAAAAAATCTGTCCTTTCTAGATACCTGTAACTCGAAAGTAAAATATTATTACCGGAAGAAGCATTCTCATATAGTCCAATATGTGAACTGAGTGTTTTCGTTTTCAACGAGCGAAGATTCTCCAGAAATCATCGGCGGATGCATGATGATTGTGGTCGTCGCAGTTCCATCGCCGATTCTGTAACACCCAGTGGTATCGAGATACCACAAAGATAGGATGATTGATCAATCGGTCTTCATCCTCGCCATGACCCCACTTTCCAACATCATACTGATTATTTTCTCTTCCCCACCTATGGCAAAATTTTGTTGACTCGGAGTTGTCATCATCCATTGTCTTGAAGGAGCCACAAGCTTCGGGCTGGGTGTCAGTCTGGCCAGTGAAATACTCGACTACAGCTTTTCCACTGCTGTTGGAGGCCGTGGTCACGTGAAGCGTACGCACCTGTTGTTTTCTGCAATGGAATCTCAGCTGACTGACAGGCAGATGAGCGTTCAGGTCTGACATGGCATTCTTTGCAAGACACATGTTACTACGAGAGTTGTCGATTTCACGGTGTGACTGGAGCAGAGCTGGAATTTCGTAGGAACCATTAAAGACAAATGTGCAGATCAGAAGCCATCCACCTGAAAAAAAAATTTACAACGTCTTCAGAAGAAACAAAACCGTTAGAGAAGCAAGAATGGTAATCGCCAGCCTCGCCCTCGGATTTTCTCAGTCATATTCCCAGCTGCACAAAAGAGGATCTAGGATGCATTTTGAAACGATAAGAAAGTATCTTCATTTGTTTGTTTGTTTTTTGATCTTTTTATATATAACTTCTCATTCCTAATAGCCTTTTGTGGTAAAGTGGGATAGTAGGCTGTTTGGCTACACAACTTAATTTGGCTTTTTGCTTGCAGAAATTTCAAGGATGAAACAAATTTTGCTCATAATCATAAATCACAACTTGCAACTTTGAAGCAATGGTCTTCAACAACGACTTAATGACAGTTTACTTTGATGGGAAAGTTAGTGTTTATAAGTTTAGTTCTCATGTTAAAGTCAAATTAGCTCAGGCTAACAAGTGCCTCAAAATATTAAGAACTTTGAGAAAGGAACAATATGACCAGAATGAAATAGATCTCTTTTTTAAGACAATTGTATTACCTACTTTAACTTATGGCCTTCCAGTGTATGGTGAGTATGAACGCGATCTAAACAGCGGCGTTTTATCTCAGTCCTCTTGAATGTCAAGGATATCATGCATGTGCAGGATGATAAATTATTTTATCGGAGTTAGGGCCCTAAGCCATCATCTATTAAATGAAATTCTGCCGAAACCTGAACCCCAGCAACTGAATATAATTTACGTCGCAAGGTTTGCTTCCGCCCAAAGATTAACACAGAAAGATTCATGACCACATTTTTAAATAGACTAATTTTTTAACACAACCTGTTATAAGACCATAATTTAATTTTGGTCATAGTATATTATTGTAATTTATCATTACACAGTTTTTCGTTTATGCAACATAGGATATGTATCTTTTATCTTATGCTTTACTATAGAGTTCAAGACTTCAAGAGCTCTTTTGAACATAAACCATTGACTCTTTTTTCTATCACTCACCACCGTCAGTTGTCATGTCACAATAGACTTTCAAAGGGTTCCCAGTCTTGTCAGGATCTATCCAGTACTCCCCATCTCCTTTGTGATCCCCAGAGTCTAGGATGTGTTTACAAGAATTGGCAGGCCGGTCGCGATTCCAACCAAGTGTGTCTGTACAGATTAGATGCAGAGGTATCCGTTTAAAAAATTCAATCAAGAAACACTTTCAGATATTTTAATTTTAAGTTCTCTGAGTGAATCGAACCCGATAGTGTTAGGTCAGATTTTTGTAAGATTGAAAAGAGAGAACATGAAGCGATCCTGTTGTTTACCATCATGGTTAAACGAAGAAGTGAAAATCACAGCCTGATTCTATATCATGATACTAAAGATGAAAACCTAACGTTTATTTATCCGCAATCGCCGAAAAATTTGTCGAAAACTTGACATTTTCAACGCCTTATGACTTCAATTTAGGCTCTCTTTCCCTCGTTTAGTCAGCTTATTCACCCCCATCTCCCCAAAACAATGTTGCATCATCATTCTAAGAACCTTTAGCTACTGAACATGCAACATTGAATGGGGGAGGGGGTCAGTCATTCAGAATGTGGTAAAAAAACAGGAGTGTTCTTCTACACCTTTATAGACCTCTCTCGACATGAAGTGTCAATTAATTTGAACGCTAATTGTATAGGTAATAGCCTTTTGTTTTAAACTCATGACAATAAGTTCCGCCAAGTACATTTTAAGGGTATCAGCGTCGCTGATACAAACGAGAGCTGGAGGGTTGTGGTATCATCCTAAGGTGTGAGCAATTGGAGAGTAAGAAAGAGGAGTAAGGCTCCTGACCTCGTGCGATGAATACTCATCAGAAAGGACTTGAACTTCAGGGGAATCTACAGCCATTTCTCACAGTGCACTCGATCCATAAGCGGAAAAAATCAGACACTTTTTGCGTCGCCCAGTCAAGTGCCACTATACCAGATCATATCCTGGTTACTCACTTGTCAGATTGCTAACCAAACTATCACTCACTTTTGCAGCTGTTTCTTCCGTCTCCCATAAATCCAGCTTTGCACGTGCAGATGTAAGAGCCTTCCGTGTTGTTACACGTGGCATTGCTATGACAGCTATGAAGACCTCCTTGGCATTCATCAATATCTAACCATATAAGGCAAAACAATTAGTGAAGCAAAAAGTTGATTTAAAATAATCTTTGGTGCTACGTATAAGGTTGAATGAATTAAGATAAAATAACAAGCAAATAATAGTTTCAGTTTGTATATGTACGGTACAAGATTTGCCTTTTCATTTTTCAGGCCCTAATCAACCAGTATCAAAGCAATCAGATACATCTTAAAATGCAATTTACAACTACGTAAAGTCTGCTCTCGAGAGTGAACTTTTCAAACTTGTTCCTTGTCCGATTGGCGGAAAGAGGCAAAAAGAGAGGAAAGCGTTTCGCCCAGGACCACAGCATAATAATTCGCACAGCAAAGACTCAAACCTCAAACTTGCTCCTTGTCCGATTGGCGAAAAGACGCATTAAGAGAGGAAAGTATTTCGCCCAAGACCACAGCATAATAATTCGCGCGGCAAAGCCTCAGACCCGGATCTTTCGATCCATTAAAACTGCTAGTAGTCTTTTACTTTCAAGATAAAGAACATAAGGTAAACTTGGGCTAGTACGAAGCAAGCGTACGGGCGAGAACAGATTATGCTGAGAAACAGTGAGACTACACACCGACCCTTACGCCATTGCGTCTCCCACGTCACTTCGAAAGAATTGGAGAAGCATTAAAGAACCAAAAGGTATCAATACATGGAACTAGACCTTCAAATGTATACCGTATTTTATCAACTTTCTTGTAACATTATATCTAGACCTTACCCTTTGCCTTCATGTCACAATGGGTTAAATTAGGGTTCCCAGTTCCTGTGGGGTCCAACCAAAATTCACCTGTGGCCACCTGTCCTCCTTCACTGGCCTTGATCTCTTCACACGAGACAGCTGGAAGCTCCCGAATGGAGCCAAGAGACACTGAAGTCAAATAAAATATTAATTAGAAGGATTTTCTCATGTCAATAGTTTAATCCCTTGATGTTCCTTCTTTCGTTCCTTCTTGACAGAGAGAGAGCAGCCTTTACTCAAAGTGACTGAAAAAATTCAATGTATGATAATATTCTTGCTATTGGGGTGACTTTCATACCTCTATTTGAACTTTTCTTCATATAATATCTTTCCAGGTTCTCAACAAAATCCTCTGGTCTTGCCTCCTTGGTTCTGTTATTTAACTCACATATGCCCTTGAACACGAAATTATAACTTTGGCATCTGTTATCGGAAAGGCAAGCTTCTCTGCAATCCAGCGAACCTGGGCGAACCTGGAATGTCTTAAAAGTGTGGCTTTTAAGCATCGCCTGATAAAAGGAATAAACATCGGCTCCACACTCATGGCTAGTTATGTGGCGAAACGCTCGGAAAACCAAGATTAGCACTGAAATATATGAAGTCTGCCAAGCCATTGAAAGGTTAATATTCATTTTTCTATCATATAACCAGAATTAGACGGAATTATTCTGCATTGTAGACTATTGAATTTTTCTCGGCTTACTCAAACATACACTCGACGTGAAATGCCTGTCAAAAACAAATTCATACGCTTTAAGAAAAGCTAGGATGAACTTCGAGAAGACTCGGTCAAACGCAAACATTGTATCGTATAATATATTTAACATAAATTGTTTAATAATTCATCATGTTTAAATAGTTTGATTAGAAAAAAAAAATATTTTTGTCATTAAAAATGTTGTCAGCTTCCTTGAAGTTCAAGGTTACAAACATTAGCAATAGTTCTAACAATATCATGTTATTATGTTTTTAAGTCCGGAGGCGATTATATGTATATTTTCTAAGAGAACTAAATTTCGAATATTCGTTGCTATGGATGATACTGGATCAGAATATTAAGAAAAAAATTACATTCAAAGCTGTTAAAACAATTAAGGCAAGATACCAGCTTAGAGAGCGCCGAAACTTGCAAAAACACTGAAACAAAACCTTTGTCTCTAAATCAGGAATTTTAAAACTTTGTGACAGTAAGATATGGAGTGAAGGCTGGCTATGAACTATAGATAAAAGTCGTTAAAACAGTTGCACAATCAAGAACTTTATTTGCATAAATAGTGTTCTAGGAAAGTTTCAGTTCTTTCGAAACAACAGTAATGTTAAAGATGTTTTTATTAGACAAATAAACTTCTTTGTTCATTAGCGACAAACTTTACCGTCATTCTTATTCTATTTACAGTAATGAAGTTAACAGAGCACACCTGTGAATATTACAATTTAATAAGACTTCACTGGCATTGTTTAGGAACTCTTCTTTTTTAGATACAGATACAGACGCTGTTCGATAGGACAGGAAATTATCAAAACTATCGCCATATGAAATATGCGGAAGACAATAATGAAGATTAGTAATGAGATATCGAGCGAGGTTTTAAATCATCTACTATTACTCTGCTGATTGCAATTATCGAGTAGTGAGAGAGGCATACGAATATGCCTATTGTAAGAGTTACTGATAATATTTATTAAGAGGATTGGTAGAGAAA